AAAAGGGGGAGAACAATCTTCACACAAGGCAAGTTTTTTCATGGAGAATACACGATGAATGGAAATAGAAACTGGAGATTTTTCATATATCTTATATAGTAGCTTTAGTAAGACCTAGTTAATTTTTATAAAATAGACTCGGAAATAGAAAATGTCACCCCCTTATGCTGAGATATTGGGAGATCCAATTTTAAAACAATTTTGGGAGGATGTGGCTTTGTGCTCTTCTGATTTTTATTGTCTCTGAATATTCAATGTGATGACTAAGGTTTGGCCTTCCATCTTGCTTGCATGAAATGAAATATTTGAAGTTCCACCTAGTTGAAACTGTTGAATGAATTTTTTGAAAGCACAAATTTGTTGTCTGTATCTTATTCTTTATGACATGGAAACTAATTGTGCAATTGGTGATAGGATCTACATAATTCGAAGTCAGCATTTGAGAGAAGCCGCTTTAATCTAGTATGTCTAATGTTCAATTGCTCTTTTTCTTGCACTTGTTTTTGACATTCTTTGTCATCCATCTTTTGGGTTATTATATTTCCTTGTTGGTTTTAAGGATTCCAGGTAAATGCTCTCATGAATATTGAAGCTAAAAAGAAGTATGAGTTCTTGGAATCTTTTAGTGCCATCATGGATTCTCATCTGAGATATTTTAAGTTGGTGTGTATTTAAGTTACCATTTACACTTCAATGCTAATAGATGCAATTATTTTCTTCTATCAGACTAATAGAACATTTATTTTTTTAGGGATATGATCTTCTGAGCCAGATGGAGCCTTTTATTCATGAGGTACAACAATTATGCTTGTTTCCCTTTAGAAATGATTTTGGAAAAAAGAGTGTTCGGCTGTAATTGTGCAGCAGGGGTAGATATATTCATGAAATTCTCTGCATTAGTATTTCATGTTCTCATTTCTCTCTTTCACCTTTTTGTTTTTTTTTGCATTTCTCTCTCTTTCGGATCTGTTCAGGCTTTCTTTCATATTAATCTTTGTTCTCTCGAACCCTCTTACTAGAGCACATGCACCTTACAAAAATTGAATATATTGCTACCTTTAAAGAGTAAAATGATAAAGTAGAACATATTAGAAGAGAGGAGGTAGACTAAACCTCATATGGCTTCTTGTGGTTGCTAAGAACCCAGTTGCTTTGGATCTTCTAGGAAATGTAGCAATGAAGAAAACATATTGTTGACCCTAAATTTATTATTTATAAGGCTTAGTTGGTTGCACCCACAAGCTCCCTTTATTAATTAGTTTTAAGAAAACCCCAAGTATCATGAAATTGAAAAATAGCCCAGAAAATTTAGATAACCTGTTGAGGAAGGACATTGGACAATACCACTTTGACCCCAAAGTTTTATTTATCAGTAACCGCTTGTTAAATTAACAAATGGTACAAGTCTAAGCAAATTAGAAGATTAAATGTACAAAACTGCAAAAAAATAAATAAATAAAAACCAGCATGTTTCTGTTTGATGTTTAGTGACATTAAAACCAGGGACATAGCCTAGAGGGTCACTTCCAGACTTCCAGTGTCACTCTCCTTGGGTCATTATTTCTCAAATTGGCCCTTTAGCATCTAGGCCTAAAGTAGAAGATAGATCCATAAATTACATTTGCAGAGATAAACGGTTGGACGTTTTCTTGTAGCTACAACTATTTATACTTCAACAAATGCTTTGACTACTAATTTCTAATGCACCGAGGGAGTTCAATCGCTTCAACTTTTCTTCCCCTTTTAACCTCAATCTTGTGAAATAGATAATCTATTAACATTCATAAATATGGTATAATTTTTTTAATCTCTTCTTCTTGTCTAGACTGTATAGCTTGGAAACTTGAGACAGTTTCAACATATTTTCTGCAATTCATTCTCTTTTATATAACTCGACTTGAAGTGTCTTCTCTTTTCCCTTTAACATTTTCCATATGAATTGCCAAAGTTCCTTTGAAGCCAAAGGCAAACTTCTTTGGTTCATGAAAAATTAACACCTAAGATATATTGCAGGAGTTTGGAACTTTTATTTCATAGCCCTATTTCTATAGTGAGTTGAGGGAATCTTGGTCTTTTGATCCATTTTAGTTGGATTAATATTTGATTGTTTTGCACGTTGTTAGCTGCTAGAATCAAGGAGGAACAATGGCTGATTGATTGTCATTTTCTCCTATTTAATCCATGTGTTCTTTTGTATTTTTCATAATAAAATTGCTAACACAAGTACATTCAAACTCATAGATGTATTTTATTATCCAAAATTTGCAACATTTGGCCTTACAAAATCTTCTATATGCTACTAAGTGGAATGCATTGAATGTTTTCTTAGAATGCTAAATCTTTTCTAGGAGGCATAGTAGTTTCTATACTCGATTGACACTGAACTGTGCTTGGAAGCACAATAAATATGTGGTTCTCTCTGATTTGATAGTGCTTTGAATGGGAGCCATTTAAGCTACTCAGCTTACTAAACCCTTGTGCTATTATACTGTTAACCTGAAATTAATTTGCTTTGATATAGTGGCCTGTGTAACTTAGTAAGCTACCGCTTCTATGAAATCAGGTGTTAACCTATGCACAACAATCAAAGGAACAGTCAAATATTGAACAAGATAGACTTGCAAAGAGGATCCAGGAGTTCAGGACAAGAGCAGAGCTGGCGAATTTGCGAGCATCTAGCAACAAGACAACTTCAACAGGTTCTATAGGCATGAATGGATTAGACTTGAGTAATTACAAAAGCATAGAGGGAACTGGGCAGTCCACTGCTAAAGGTGAGGTGAGTACATAGTTTTCTGTTGCAAGTATAACAAATTATTCTTTTCTAATCTTGTGTTTCTCAAAAAGATTTGAGCTACGACAAGTACATCTATTTGGTTTTCTAACTTATGTACTCCCTGGATTTTAAGAGTTAATGAGTTGTTGACTGTCAGCTTTCCATTATTTTATGTCTTGTATCGTCTAGTAATAGTAAAAAATGATTCATTTTCTCAGGTGCAGACAATAAAGCAGGGGTATCTTTTGAAAAGATCTTCTAGCCTGAGGGCAGATTGGAAGAGGCGATTCTTTGTACTTGATAGTCATGGGACTTTATATTATTATAGACAAAAAGGTGACAAACGTGGGGTATGTTAAGGTTTTTTACCAATATCAGGTCAAATTACTAGCATTGTTCATGGTTTAACTCACGTTGTCTTGCACTTTCTACTCCCTGTGTGGACCTTGGTGTGTATGTTTTTTTTTTGGGGGGCGGGGGGGGTGTAGGATCCCGTGTTTAACATCATTTAGGAAAATTTCTTGATGACAGACATAATCGGACAAGAACCAAAACTTTAGAAGAAGAGATAAGAAGAGGAGAGGGGAGGAGAAATAGAAGAAAAGAGAAGATGGAGAGATAAAGAGGAATTGAGGGATAGAATCTTGTATTTTTTGTTCAATAATCGAAGCGTAATTAAAACAAAGCATCCTCTCCCACTATATAGGTTTTTACAAAGTTCAATTTAAGTAAGAAACATCTAAAGAAATAATATAAAATGCTAGAATATTTTTACAACTAAACCATAGTTGTTTTTCCTAAAATAACCCATCAAGTCTTGGTAACATAAAATCATTAAGGATCCTTATCACATCTATATTTTATTTGAAGCTCATAAGTAAACTACAGTTTCCGTAATTTGGCACATTCTCAGGAATCACTGCAGCTTGCAAAGATGCTGCCTGAACCAATTTATTAAAAATGCATTTTCTTGTCAGTAAGGTTAGAAATAAAGTAAGTGTTAGTTGGGAGAAATTATAAATTGATAGAAATGAGTGGTGGATAAGTGTGTAGTAGTTGTGGGTATTACAAAATGTGCGGTTAAAATTAATGTTTGACTTTGACCATGCATGCAGTATAACGGTTAAGAATTATTAGCAGCTAATGCCTGTTGTCCTCTGGACAGCTGTGA